ATCACCGAAAGGTGAAATCGCGATGGGCACTCCCTTATTCAACGATCCTTATCAGCAAAAACTATCGACATATGACATTCTTTGACCTCAAAGTTGGCCGACATCACCATCTCTGATCCCCTTATCACAGCTCGAAATTCTGGTGAAATTTCAGTCGAAAGACAAAGAAGAAGAAAGATAAAAAAAAAAGGGCTAAGGAGGGTTGGATACAATTCTGTGCGAGTAAAGGGGAGAAATATTGGCCAACAAACTTCACAACATATTTAATTGGGAAGTGGAAACTATTGGGCCTACACTTTTGCTGATATAGCCCGATATCAAAAGCCTACTATATTATTGTGAGGCTTTGATAATATTCAAGATAGCCAACCAAGTAGATCCGAATTCATTTATCTCAATTCCGGAGCCGAAATCAATTTTCAACACCGGGGTTAAGTTTATTTATTCAAATCAACATTAGCTGGGGGCCGAGTTCATTATTGCTGTCGGAGTTGAGTTCATCATCACTACCGGGGCCGAGTTTATTATCACTGCTAGGGCCGAATCCTTTATCTTGACACGGAATATGTATCTCTGATGTCCTCATATTCTCGCCGTAGAGCATTGACTCCGGCTGAGCCGACGCCCCTATTTTGCTCACCGTAGAGCATTGACTCCGGCTGAGCCGACATCCCTATTTTGCTCGCCGTAGAGCATCGACTCCGGCTGAGCCAACGTCCCTATTTTGCTCGCCGTAGAGCATTGACTCCGGTTGAGCCGACGTCCCTATTTTGCTCGACGTAGAGCATCGACTCCGGCTGAGCCGACGTCCCTATTTTGCTTGCCGTAGAGCATTGACTCCGGCTGAGCCGACGTCCCTATTTTGCTCGCCGTAGAGCATCGACTCCGGCTGAGCTGACGTCTTTATTTTTTTCGTCGTTGAGCCTCGACTCCGGCTGAGACGCCTTACATTATATTTTCCTACATTGAGCCTCTGCTCCATATTGTCCTACCGTCGAGCCCCTGCTCCAGCCCCAAAAACTAATTATCACAAAAAATAAAAATCCGAGCAACAACTCGGTACCGATGTAAGCATAGCGACACTCGGTCTCGCTAATACCCCGTAATACATCCAAATCCCACGCATGGTTTGGCTGGGGTTGAAGCTCGTCAGACGTCACCTCAGCTAACATGATTTGACGGGTCCCGATGACAACCGAACACTCATTCATACAACTCGGTTGAGGCCGCTCCATAATCGAACCGTGACGAAGTTCGGTGATCCCTTTATAGCTGACGCCTCGTAATACATCCAAACCCCACGTATGGTTTGGTTGGGTTAAAGCTCGTCCACGTCACTTCAGCTAACATGATTTGACGGGTCCCGATGACAACCGAACACTCATTCAAACAACTCGGTTGGGGTCGTTCCGTAATCAAACCGTGAAGAAGTTCGGTGACCCTTCTTTTTTCAACATCGGACTCAGAAAAGGAGTTCAGACTCGACAAAATATCGAGGTATCCTTATTTATCGTACATTAAGCATTTACTGCACATGCGCATTACGCATCGGCATACTCAGTCATGCATTCATACATTCATACGCGCGTCACACATACATTCATTACATATGCGCATCGGACATACATCTTGACATCCAAATCAAAGGAATACAATAAACCAAACGACTTCATCTGTTTGGGCCCACACTGGTTAGGCAAAGTCAATAAGACCTTCCCGGCTGGGAAATATGCGAAAGAAAAAATCATTACACCGAGTTCTTCAGCTCGGTATGATAAAGCCTTTACTTACACCAAGTTATTCAACTTGGTAAGGCTGATACCCATGCCGTTACCGAACTCTTCAGTTCGGTAGACTAAAATCTTTATTTTTACCAAGTTCTTCAGCTTGGTAGGGCTAGAAAGTCCGTTTGTAACCGAGTTCTTCAACTCGGTGGGCAAATATATCATATTGATAACATCTTTGCATAAATATCGATAGCAATACAAGGGGCCCGAGTGCCCGCACCAGCTCAAATCTATACTATTATGATCATTTCAGACGCAAATTCATCCAACGCGTCCTATTACACACGAAAACCGGGTACCGAATTACCCGACCAGGCCAACCAGACCCATTCATATAGCATTTTCACATAGTTGACTATCCACGCAGTCGACTCCACTCGTCAGAACAAAAAATATATAATTACCGTCAATACGACAGGCCAAAGCCTAAGCACGACCAGAAATTTGGCTCCACGGGTCCCAAAGTACCCGGCCAACATCGATACATTATTTATCACAGCAAAATTGACTATACATGTGACTTCAGAACAGTTCTATTCAGAACATGTCCTAAAGTCAGGGGCCTACTGTTAATACCCAATTTTGACCTCACCTATTATAATATTACACATGAATATATATTATATCAATTATCTTATTTTAGGGCCCAAAAATAACACTGCTTGTAATAATAACGGTCCCACCAAAAATATATATATAAACCCCAATGATGGACGTGAGATACAGAGGTCTGAGGGGCTATTACTTTTTTCTTTCTTCTACTCATTTTCTCTGAGATAAAAAAAAAATACATCACAGATACATAGCTGCTTCTTCTTCAATTTCTATTTATGGATTTATACCAAATTTACATACAAAAATTCATATAAATCCAATACAAATATTCAACCGAAATTCATTGTAAATCCAATTTTCTGAATACCCCATGTTAATACAATTTCGCATATCAACAGAACGGTAGATAAGATGTTCGAACCCTCAAGCTTGTGAAGGCCCAAAAGCCCATTCAAGCCCCAAACTATTTTTCCCATTTTTATTCCTTTTTCCATTTCTCTTTTTCTTTCTATTCTCCTTTTTCTCTCTCTTCTTTCTTCTTTTCCTCTCTTTTTCCCGTCATCTCTTTCTTTTTCTATCCTGAAATTTCCCAAATTTCAGGATTCGCTCTCTTTCAATCTCTCTGTCTGACGCTACCCCATGCAGCATTTGTTAAATCTATTTGGGATTAAATATGTGTAATTAATACATTGGGTCATTATATTGTTTAGCCAAAATAAAGTGATCAAATTATTGTACATTGGCTAAGGAACTTAATATAAATTGTGGAATGGTTAAATGTGGACACCCGGTAATATTATTATTTGGTGACGTAACAAATAATAATATTAAACTAAAGGACCTAAATAACGTATAATTTGGGTCAAAATTATTTATGGGTGGAGTCCCCAAAAGCCGTGAAAATAAAGTGATGCCCATTTGGATACCCCATAAGGAATAAAAAAAATAAAATAATAATAATAATAATAATAATAATAATAATAATAATAATAATAATAATAATAATAATAATAATAATAATAATAATAATAATAATAATAATAATAATAGAAGTAGTTGGCAGTTGCCGACACTCTCTATTATTAGGTATGATTAGTGATCAATTAAAAGGGATGGATGGTAGTAGTTAAACTACATCTTCCATCATTAATTACAAAATTGATTTCTAATTAGTATATAAAGTGTAAAGGGGAGGGCATCAAGTGCAGCAGAAGAAAATTTCTTCTTCATAAGTTCTATCAGTTTTCTTTCATACGTCCGAAAGAAAATAAGGAATAAATCACGGGCTTTTGGAAGATCTTCAATTCCCAAATACAATTAATCAGTCAACATGAGTTCATCAGGTATGCTTCCGCTATTCGGTTATGATTCTCGATTATTCGATATGAAAGCTCTTGGGATTAATATCGATTTATTTCGAATAAATTAAAATACAGTTTCTATCAATTGGTATCAGAGCATATCATATCGGATTTTAGGGAATCAATTAATATTGGGATACGTGAAATTCAATTTTGATGCTGTAAAATAATTCATATGCAATTTTGTTTGGATATGTATTGTTTGTCCGCATCAGATGCATATATGAATCCAACATATTGGAAATTGGATTCAATTGGAATTGTTTATTTTTCCATGCCTGAGGTTTATTAAATAACTGTAATCAAGTGTTATATTGATTTCCAAATTCATTAGTGCTTTGGATTCTGTATATGTTCTCTGTTTGGTGCCATGAGTTCCTGATATATTATCCATCATGGTACAAATCAGTTTTATAAAACTGTGCCATTTTTCCATCAAAGATAATCAGTATATTGATATGAAAATTATGAGCCCAGTAATTCAATTTTCTTGCCATGCCTGGGACTATGGAGCTGGAATAATATGCTTTTCATAAGATTGATTTATTTAATGGAACTATGCAAATTAAGTTATATATAAGGACATGTTAATTGATGTTGATATAAATCCATCAAACACCATTTATTTGATGTGTCAGAAATCATATTTATATGATTTTATGAATATTTTATGTGCACTTACTTTTGGAATAATCATATTCAGCTTTGGGTTATTTTATACCCAATTAAAGTTTGATTGCCGATATTCAGTTATATATATTCGGCGCTTAATGTTTAATTTAAATAAATTAATTGAAACAAAATGTTACCAAAGTGACCTCTTTTGTTTAGATTAATTTATTTAAAGACTAAAGATTGTTGTATTTTTGTAATTCATGCGTGTGTTAATTAACCCAAAGGTGAACCGCACATGGTCAAATTACAAACATACCTGTGATAATAAATCTGTGACAATTATAAAGTTTTTCATGTGAACAATAATTCTATCCAAAGATCGTTTTATTGTTTGACAGAATTTATTGTCAAGATTTGATTATTACAACAAGAGTACCGCTTACAATTAATATTACAATCCAAAGATTTGATATTAATGTTGTGCTTGGTATCTTGATATGGGTTTAAACCATATTTGGTTTAAATGATTAACTATGGATAATAATGTGAGTATCTCTGTTATTATTCTCATCAGGTTCTTCATCTATGGTATCTACCAACTATCCAGTTCCCACTTTATCTGGGGACAATTTTAAGAACTGGAAAGAATCAATTTTGATTCATTTGGGCTGTATGGATCTAGACTTGGCATTAAGGATAGACCAACCTGCTTCTCTTACGGAGAACATCACTACTGAGGAAAAATTGTGCTTTGAGAAGTGGGAAAGGTCTAATCGCTTAAGTCTTATGATCATAAAGAAAAGCATTCCAAAAATCTTTCGGGGAACGATATCTGATGATATCACTCTGGCTAAAGAGTTCCTTGTCGAGATTGAAAAGCGCTTTAACAAAAGCGATAAGGCGAAAATGAGTACTCTTTTAAAGAGTCTCGTTACCATGAGGTATCTCGGCAAAGGCAACATAAGGGAATACATCCTCAAGATGTCCAATATTGCTTCTAAGTTGAGGGCACTAAAGTTAGACCTTTCGGAGGACATGCCTGTCCTATTGGTCCTGCTCTCTCTTCTTCCTCAATACGATCAGTTTAAGGTCAGTTACAACTGTCAAAAGGAGAAATGGACTCTTAATGAGCTCATTTCTCACTGTGTTGAGGAAGAAGAAAGAATGAAGCATAATAGGACTGAGGAGGTACATATGGTTGGTACCTCGAAAGATGCTGGTGGCTTTAAAAGAAAATTTAAGGCCGTTAAGGTTGAGACTGCTAAGGGTCCAGCTCCAAAGGGTAAACCTGAGGAGATTTCATGCTTCTTTTGCAAGAAATCTGGACATCTAAAGAAAGATTGTGCTAAGTACTCCGCCTGGTGCGTGAAAAAAGGTACATTCTTTAATTTGGTTTGTTCTGAAGTTAATTTAGCTTCAGTACCTCGAAACACTTGGTGGTTAGACTCCGGTTCAACTACTAACATCAGTGTTTCAATGCAGGGTTGCCTAAGCCACCGAAAACCAACTGATGCTAAAAGACGCATTTATTTTGGAAATGGTGAATCGGTGGATGTGGAAGCTGTGGGCATATTTAAATTATTATTAAGTACTGGACATTTTATGGAATTAAAAGACACTTTTGTTATACCGACTTTTAGACGGAATTTGGTTTCTGTTTCTTATTTGGACAAATCCGGTTATTATTGTTCATTTGGAAACAATAAAGTTGTATTGTCTTTTAATTCTAATGTGGTTGGTTTTGGTACTTTTATGGAAAATGATAATTTATATATGCTCGATACTATAACTTCCTATAATGAAACCCTGAATGTGGAATCAAGAGGTACTAAGCGAAAATTAAATGAATCAAGTATGCTATGGCATAAACGTTTGGGACATATTTCGAGAAATAGAGTTGAAAGACTCGTTAAGGATGGAATTCTTGATTCTATTAATTTCTCGGATTTTGATGTTTGTGTCAATTGTATTAAAGGTAAACAAACCAAAGTAAAGAGGATAGGTGCTTATCAAGCTGCGGAAGTCTTAGAGTTGATACATACGGACATTTATGGGCCTTTTCCTATACCTTCATGGAATGGTCAACAATACTTTGTATCATTCATAGACGATTATTCTCGATATGGTTATCTATACCTCATAAGGGAAAAATCTGAGGCCTTGGACATGTTCAAAGCATTTAAGGCTGAAGTTGAAAATCAACTTAGCAAACGCATTAAGATCGTCAGATCTGACCGTGGAGGAGAATATTATGGCAGAAATGATGGATCTGGTGAACATGTCCAGGCCCATTTGCTGACTTCCTTAAGGAGTGTGGTATTGTCCCTCAGTACACTATGCCGGGTTCGCCTAGCATGAATGGTGTTGCTGAGAGACGAAATCGCACATTAAAGGATATAGTTCGAAGTATGATTTGCCAATCTACTTTACCACGATCCTTGTGGGGGGAAGTACTAAAGACTGCAGTCTACATCCTAAATCGAGTACCAACTAAGGCGACTGCTAAAACACCCTATGAACTTTGGACTGGGCGCAAGCCTAGCTTACGACATTTTAGGGTGTGGGGTTGTCCAGCTGAGGCGAGGCCTTATAGGCCAAATGAACCAAAGCTAGCTCCTCGTACGGTTAGTTGTTATTTCATTGGTTACTCGGAACGGTCAAAGGGGTATAAATTTTATGATCCCACATCAAGAAATATTTTTGAGATGGACACTGCCACGTTCTTTGAGGATGTTGAGTTTGGGGGGAGAAATACATTTTCAGACTTTACTTTTGAGGATCAAGAAATCACCAAAGTGGTTGACCCGATCCCTCAAGAGGAAATAGTCATTCCAGCTCCCATACAGTTTCAAGATACAACTGAGAAGCCTGTTCATTTTGAACCCGAACCTCAACATGTACCTATAGAACAAACTCAACAAACTCAAGAACATACAGTTCAAGAGCCAAAGATTTTGCGGAGATCCATTAGAGAACGTAGAAATGCCATTCCAGATGATTATTTGGTATTTCTTCAAGAAATTGAGGTGGATGGCTTGAATGAGGATGATCCAATCAACCTCAAACAAGTCATGAAGGATCCCAACTCAAATAAATGGATCGAAGCGATGCGTGAAGAGTATAAGTCAATGCAAGACAATAAGGTTTGGGAACTTGTCCCATTGCCATAAGGTGCAAAACCCGTTGGTTGCAAATGGATTTTTAAAACCAAACGGGATGCAAATGGTAATGTGGAGAGGTATAAAGCACGTCTTGTGGCTAAAGGCTATACTCAAAGGGAAGGGATTGACTATAAAGAGACCTTTTCTCCAGTATCTTCGAAGGACTCTTTTAGGACAATCATGGCTCTAGTGGCACATTTTGATTTAGAGTTACATCAGATGGATGTAAAGACGGCGTTTCTCAATGGTGACATTGATGAGACGATCTATATGGTACAACCAGAAAGCTTTGAGGTCGATGACCCGAAGAAAATGGTT